GCAAGAAAAACATTCCAGCCTCTGCCTTCCCGAATGTGCAAGTAAAGACATATTTATTTTGGGAATAAATTAAATGGTCAGTTTTTAAATCCATTTTTGGGCAGTATTGTATTACCAAAAGGGTCAGTATAAAAATACTAAACGGTTAGGTTAGGTCAGGTTAGGTTAGTGGAACAGTTCCTTAGGGAGGACAGCAAGAAGAAGATTCCAGCCTCTGCCTTCCCGAATGTGCAAGTAAGGACATATTTATTTTGGGAATAAATTAAATGGTCAGTTTTTAAATCCATGTGTGGTCAGTATTTTATTACCAAAATGGTCAGTATAAAAGTACTGAACGGTTAGGTTAGTGGAACAGTTTCTTAGGGAGGACAGCAAGAAAAAGATTCCAGCCTCTGCCTTCCTGAATGTGCAAGTAAGGACATATTTATTTTGGGAATAAATTAAATGGTCAGTTTTTAAATCCATGTTTGGGGCAGTATTTTATTACCAAAATGGTCAGTATAAAAATACTAATCGGTCAGGTTAGCTTAGTGGAACAGTTCCTTAGGGAGGACAGCAAGAAAAAGATTCCAGCCTCTGCCTTCCCGAATGTGCAAGTAAGGACATATTTATTTTGGGAATAAATTAAATGGTCAGTTTTTAAATCCATGTTTGGGGCAGTATTTTATTACCAAAATGGTCAGTATAAAAATACTAAACGGTTAGGTTAGGTCAGGTTAGGTTAGTACATAAACTTCATATTTAAATACTGACCAGTAAAATACAAGCAATTTATTTTGATATATTTTATTTCTCTCTCTATATTTCCGTTTGTTGCAGTCCAACATTGAACGAAAACCATTCGAAGAGATGTTAGCTGCCGAAGAGGCGAATCAGTTCACGTACAAAGCTGGCCCGACGACTAACAACGAAGCTGAAGTAGCACCGACCGAAGTTCTGACGAACAGGTTACAAGATCTGGATATTAGTAAGGTGATTCCATCCTCTACGGAGAAAGCAAGCGTTCCTGAAAAAGTTACCAAGACCAACAGTAACTCTAGGCCGCTCACCGTGGACGACGACGATTTGGACCTTGATTTCGAACTCGACGAAACGTTAGATACAACAGTAAGTCTGTTATTCGTTTCTTTAAACGATTTTTCTCTTGTATCTTCATTAGTGATGTGCGGCCCGACTGTTCGGGTCGGTTCGGAAAACATCGGGCGGGCTCGGACGGGTGTCCGGTACATACCTGCAGTCGGGTAGCCCGAGTGTCTCGGCTCAGGTCGGATGAAGTCGGGCAGGTTCGGACGTGAGAGTTGGGTCGCGGGCCGCCCGAGTCTGCCCGACTTCATCCGACCTGACCCGAGACACTCGGGCCACCCGACCGAGCCCGCCCGAACCCGCACATCCCTAATCTTCATTTTGTATGAATATCGTGCCTCATTTTTGCCTTTTTTTCCATGCAACCTTATGCATGCTGCCTGACATAAGTACTTCTAAAACTGAAAGTAAGTCTGTGTCCTTAAAAGAATTCCTTCTCTTAATGATTTTTGAAAGAAAGAAAAATGCGTTTATCAAAATTGTGAGTAGAAAGATGATAGGTGAATCGAGGTCAAGCGGAAGAGAAAGAGAAGAAGGGAGGATGGCGAATAAGCAGGGTGCAACTAGACGATGCCTTAATACCCTTAAATACAGACGTGTAATTCTAGCCGGGTATTACATTACGAAAACAGTCTGAAGCCGAGCGTAACACACTCGCGACCGTCTGTGTACCATTTTATATCGATCCTGGCGAATATATGTGAACACGTTCGAATTAGCGCGCAAAATGAAACGTCCGTTGAATAAAACTGAGGGACCGTCATTAGTATTTTCAATAATAACAATTTATTTAGTTACAATTCAATAGTATTGATCGTACACCTCATCTGAGATCTTTAGACTGTGAAACCAATCCTTATGGAGGGGATTCAGAAGCTTAAGGTTTGTTGACTTCACGCCAGTCACGGTTCATTTTCTTTACAGCTTTATTGCCATAACATTCATGCACATAACCCTCTGTATTCTACTTGGTGTACCTTTTCCATCATTTATCACATATTCCCCTTTCAGATAATACATTTATTCTAAAACAGCGAATTAAGTGCTCTTTTCGGCCAATTTTCAGAAGTTACCCCCCTGTCCTCCCACTGCTTGTCGTGCCCCATGATAGGGCCCTAGTTCTCTAGGCATCTCAGGCGCGTGCCGTATGGATCGTACCCCATGAGTAATGTGGAAATCTATTACATACATACATAAATTTTTTACTTGGGTGGACTCGTCCAAGATGGCGTTCTAGGAGGGCATCCCCTCCTCTATCACCTTGCGAAACTTAAACAAAATCTTATAACTCTTTACAGTCGTTTATGGTATAATTCTCTACATTGCAAACTATCACATCCTTTCGTTATCATCCAGATTCCTTTTTTCCATCCATCCCACCACACATCCTATCCTTCCCCACACACTATTTGCCCATTGTCCAGGGGTCATCTCCTTCTCTCTCCCCTAACCCAGCTACCCTACTGTCGGGGACGTATCTTTTGCTCCAATCCACGTCCATTTCCCTATACAATTTTATTCAATTTGTGCAGATACTTCATAAGTTTCTTTGTTACTGCTAGATTACCCTTCATAATAATCCCATAAATGGCCTCCCCCTCTTTCTCTTTCCTGATAGAATCTATCATACCCCCACACCACGTGGTTTAAATCTTCCACCCCATTTCCACATTCACAGTCCTGTGTCTCCACCAGGTCTTTCCTAAAGAAGGAAGCACCCAGATTAAAATGATTTGATCTAACCCTGTTCATTCTTACTACCGGGCCCCTATCCTCCCCAGGGCCGGCCCTGAGATTTCGGGGATCCGAGGCGAGCTGCGAAAAAGGGTTCTTTCATATATATGACATAAAAAAAAGTACCTCAAATAAAATTTATAAAATTAACATTAAAGCTTGTATAACTAATTTAGATTAATAATCAAGTAAACATTACTCTTCTTGCATTCTTAGACGCAAAATTGTCTTATGGGGGCCCTGGACCTTGGGGGTTCCTAAGCGACCGCCTAGTCTGCCTAGGCCCTGGGCCGGCCCTGATCCTCCCCCTTCATACTGTGGAACCAAGGCTTCCTATCCTCCACATTATTCTTCTCCCTGGCAAAATATCTTACCCCCTTCCTTGGAAATCTATTGATACGTGTGTAGCCCCAATGCGTTCTGAAAAGTTCATACGGGACGCGTCTGGGGTGTCTCCAGGACTATGGCCCTTGGGGCACGGCGAGCGCCGGGAGGAAAGGGGGGTAACCTGTGAAAACTGGCCGAAAATAGCACTTAATTCCCAACGCTGTTCTAAAATATTTGGCACGGTATGTTAACCCGTTGATGAAGTTAGGGCATCAGTTTAGTATATGGGCCGCTCCCCCGGGGGGAGTTATATAGTTGGATAGCTTGGAGGATGAGGATCCCAAATATGATTTTTCCAGGCATTGAAGTCTTATAGGGTCGGAGATATGGGGGGGTTACAGTTGGATAGCTTGGAGGATGAGGATCACAAATATGATTTTTCCAGGCATTGAAGTCTTATAGGGTCGGAGATATGGGGGGGTTACAGTTGGATAGCTTGGAGGATGAGGATCACAAATATGATTTTTCCAGGCATTGAAGTCTTATAGGGTCGGAGATATGGGGGGGTTACAGTTGGATAGCTTGGAGGATGAGGATCACAAATATGGTTTTTCCAGGTGTCGAGGTCTTATGGGGGTGGACGTATAAGTGTTCTAAGTTGCGATTGACTTGGATCGCCCTCCCCCCTTTGGGGGGAGCGGCCCATATGTTAAATCGGAGCCAAAATTAGTAGGAATAGATGTAACTTTGAAGTAACCATGCTTAAGAATATATTTTCTGTTTCAGGGTGTAAGTCTCGATGACGATCTTCTTGAAGAGGATTAGCCGTTCGATTGGAAGGCAAGCAGCGTGTACGTTGTACGTGAAATTTCCATTCACCTTCCGTCAGTCATTCCCCGTGTGTCGAGCAGCATCGTTTAGGATCAAGTATTAAAGAAAACGTTGAAGGACATTTTTGTGCGCGAGTGTTTTTATCAGTGCATCCGATTATAAAAATACAGTTCATCCTGTGCACGTGGATTTTACCCGTGTACCGAAGATTAAATATATTGTTAATATAAAGGAATAATCAAATAGGCTTTAGTCTGTATTACACCTTCCACGATCACAATCCTACTTTTGAGGTATATTTTTTTTTATGTTACTCTTTTCTGTCGCTATTTTCAGTTACAACAAATGAATGACATTTGTTTATGTATCTGAAATAAAACATGTTGTTAATATGGTAGAATAACATGAGACAATTTGTAGCTTTTCATTTTGCAGCCTGGTTTTCAGATTTATATTGAGACGCATAGACCTTAAGCATTGGAATAGAAAATAAATGATCAAGAAAATATGTAGGGTAAATGTTAAGACCAGTCGTCAACCATCCAATCACCATCACAGTAAGGCTTGCTATAATTCATATTTTCACCAATACATCTATAAAGGAGATGGCCATCTCCATACCTTAGTCAACCCCTATTGTCCCAGCAAATTTTTACCCCATGGAATCCATAGAATAGGCCGCCAAGATGATCTGTACCAAGTTTTATCCAAATCGATTAATGGGAACATGGTCAAAATGGCACCCAAAGCTGACCATTTTAACACGGGGCTTTATGGGGAGTTATGGAAATCGTGCTTTCGGCATCCTAGTTTCCAGATATGTTAAACTAGACGATAATACCTTTCAAATGAGCCCATGAGCATCAAAATCGTCAAACGGGAACTTGGTCAGAAATCGACTTTGAAGATTTTCTTCATTTCTTCACAACGGGTTTTGACCAAGTTCCCGTTTGACGATTTTGATGCCCATGGGCTCATTTGAAAGGTATTATCGTCTAGTTTAACATATCCGGAAACTAGGATGCCGAAAGCACGATTTCGACAAATCCCCATAAAGCCCCATGCTAAAATGGTCAACTTTGGGCGCCATTTTGACCATGTTCCCATTAATCGATTTGGATAAAACTTGGTACAGATCATCTTGGCGGCCTATTCTATGGATTCCATGGGGTAAAAATTTGCTGGTACAATAGGGGATGGCTATCTCATTTTATTGGACCTGGAGAGTTTATTATCCCTTATTCCTAACCAGTTTATTTCTAGGGAGACTGATCATTGACTAGGGAATTAAGGCACGTTTACCCTATCCAGAATTTGTCTGCATATCAAATAGAAGATCCTTTCCTCCAGAAGAGCCTAAAATGTGCAAACCTTTCGAGCTGCTAGCACGTTGCACTCTTTGGTTCCTTGAAACCCGAATAGTCTTCAATTTTAATGCACGCGTACGTGTCACGAGGTAGCAGAAAGACGTGCTGTTAGGACGCTCTGTACGTGCCAGCTGCTTTCCAAGCACAATGTGCTCGAAAAAGGTACGCACTATCGTGTTCCATCTTTATTATTAATACTACCCGTTCCATGTCTCTGATTCTTTTTATAATAGTGCACTGTTCGCAGATCCTGGATATCAGCGTTATCGCCAGCCAAGGAGCATCAAGGTTTAGAAACTCCAAAGTTCAACAACTCGTCAAACAGAATTTATTATTATTTACAGAAATCATTCATTGGTTTGTAAATATTTTCTGTTGAATATCAAACATAATCTCCATTACTCCGTGACCTTTTCTTCCTGCTCGGCCAAGTTTATATTTATCTACCGCTGAAATTGTTTCTTCTACTTTTTTATCCCTCTCTCTCTCACTCTCATTTTTCTTATTTTTCTTATTTTCATCGTTCAGAACAGATTGAGGAATCGCGTGTCGCGATAACAAGAGACGACCACGTGGATGGATTAATCGAGTGTAAATTTACGTAGGAGAGAGCGGTGCACCGGTGGCGCGGAGTCGGCTGAAAAAAGACGAAGGAGGAGTAGGTGGAGACAGAGAAAGACGAGCAGTCGACGAGGGAATACAGGCGAAAAGATAGCAGCACGCATCGTCTCGAAAATAGAAACGGCTTCGTTGACACTCTGCTACAAATTGTCCGCGTCGTTATGCTCTTTGTAAAAGCCTCGCCCTCCTTCTTTTGTCCAGCCGCCGCGAATACCTTACAGTTTTTGCATTCAGATGCTACCTAATCGTTACTAAATCATTAGAAAAAAGAATGTAAATTTAATTGAGATAAAAGAAGCTGGAAATAGAAGGAATAATGTGTTTAGGAACAAAATTAGAAGAGGTTTATGACTCGAGGCACTGCATAAAATGTTATTAATTAATTATGATGTTAGAATATGTGCATTGAAGTTATTCATTTTGCGAGGTCAAATATAGGAAGTTGGAATATAATTAACTGATTTTAGGTGGTGCCTCGAGAAGTAAATGGGCTGCGTAACACTGATTCTCCTTCTCGACGCGGCGTCTCCGAGAATTTATTGCCGTCCGTTCCGCGCGAGGATTACCAGAACTCGGTCGAACGATATCTGACACACTCTCCCTCGTTTCGTCCAGTTAAATCCACTCTAACGACCGACTAAACGAGCCGAGTAATTTTTAAGGTGGAGCCAAATATAGATAAGAAAAAAATCATTCCAATGTGAATTGACGACTAACTCCTTCATAGAAAATCTTTCACTTTTTGATCCTTTGAGTTAATTCCTCATAGTTTCAAGCATCATTATCACTTCCTTGGTGAGTTTCACTAATTCCATCACAGATATTCTTTTTTTTATTTTTGGAATTGTATTTTTTAACCTCAAACATCATCAGCAATCTTCATCAAAAAATCATGGTTAAAGAATGGTGATTGATAAATATTGATCAATGGATGATGTATATCAGAAGTGCATGGAAAAATGAAGTAATGTATCCTACAGAATAATCAGTCCTAGTTATAATTAAAGAATGACCAGTATGGTGGTTGATGAATATTAGTGAATGGAAGAAGAGTATATGAAAAGCCTGGAAGGATGATGTAATGTGTCCTGAAGAATAATTAGTCCTATCTATAATTAAATAATGACCAGTATGGTAGTTGATAAATATTAGTGAATGGAAGAAGAGTACATGAAAGGCATGAAAGAATGAAGTAATGCATTCTGCAGAATAATCAGTCCTATCTATAGTTAAGGAATAACCAGTATGGAGGTTGATAATTATTAATAAATAGATGAAGAGTATAAGAAAGGCATGGAGGAATGAAGTAATGCATCCTGCAGAATAATTAGTCTCATCTATAGTTAAAGAATAACCAGTATGGAGGTTGATAATTATTAATAAATGGATGAAGAGAATAAGAAATACATGGAAGAATGAAGTAATGTATCCTGAAGAATAATTAGTTCTATCTATAATTAAAAAATGACCAATATAAGGTTGATAGTTATTAATGAATGGATAAAGAGTATAAAAAAGGCATGGAAGAATGAAGTAATGTATCCTGCATAATAATCCTAACTATAGTTAAAGAATGATCAGTATGATGTTTGATAAATATTAATAAATAGATGAAGAGTATAAGAAAGGCATGGAGGAATGAGGTAATGCATCCTGCAGAATAATTAGTCTCATCTATAGTTAAAGAATAACCAGTATGAGGTTGATAATTAAAAAAGGCATGGGGGAATGAAATAATGCATCCTGCAGAATAATTAGTCCAATCTATAGTTACAAAATTACCAGTACGGTGGTTGATAAATATCGCTGAATGGATGATGTATACCAGAAAAGCGTGGAAGGATGAAGTAATATAGCCTGCCCCAGGAGTCGACGATGCGTCGCGAGACGCACGTGCGTTGAAGAGACTGTGAAGCTGCTAATAGTCGCCTAAATGGTCGACACGCTTGCCCTGGCTGTCGCTATATGTCACCTCCGCCCTCTATTTACACGCCACGGACGATGCACGTGCGTGTGAATCTCGTCGCGACGGAAACGAAGGAATTCTCCTGCCTTCCACTCTACTTTTCCTTAGATGCTCTTCAGATGATCACCGTTAATAAATTGATCAAGTCGTTGATAAATTGTCAAGTAGAAAGATGTCAGGCTATTTTGAGGAAATAATAGTCTTCCAAATGCTGAGCCTTCTAAGGCTGACAATAAGAGTAGGCGAAACAATAGGGTGGTCACGTCCCGTTGTAAAATATCGCACCCACATCTCTGTAACTCGAGAAACCCGGAATGATTTACCTGACTTTCGGTGGATTCGTTCCACACAGTGGTGGCCGGTCCCGATGATTAACGCTCGTGTTTGCTTATCGAGAATGTTTGCGTAAAACGAACAGTATCTGACGTTTATGTTTGGAGTATCGGCCTCCACCGTCGCGTGAAATAAGCTGCCGCAGAGATTCAATAATTCTGACTCTCTTACTTTTCATTCTATTCAAAATCATAGTCCTTGATCAAACTTAATTTTCATATCTTAAAAAATTTGTAATAATTGCAACAAGTCATCAGGGACCTATGTTTAATATATATATATATATATATATATATATATATATATATATTGTTATTAGTTTTAAGGCAGATATATCCTGAAGAGTGTGAGAATGAATGGTGGTGGTATGGTGAAGAAGAAGGGTCGCTAAAGGCCATCCTATAGGAGTGGAATCCTCCCTTCTTTCTCTATAAATACCAAACTTACCTGTTCCGTGCGACCAATGGCAACTCGAGCCCCCCTATGTATCCCTACAACTGCTCATCTTCAAGAGGAAGTCAATATTTTACCTGGCTGTGGCAACCAATGGGAGTACAAGGAGACCCTCCCAGTAGATCAAATCTCTATAGAAACATGTTGCTAAAACATGGCTCTGTTTCAATAACATGATGAGAATGAAACTTTCATTGGAGTGTAAGGTTTAATTACTTTCCTTAATTGTCTCTGGTGGTAGAATCTCTGCCCCAGAATTATTATTGAATCACCAAGCACTCAATCCTTTTATTTTAAATAGAAAGATGGAAAGTCTAGGAATAAAATATAAGAAGATCTGTCCATTTTCAGCCCAAGGTGATGCATATTAAATTTCTGTCCATTCCATTCATACCAAGGCACTCTTTTCCAGAGGCATCGACCACGCAAGATTTATTTCAAGCCTAACGTTAGAAGGGACGTGCTCGCGCGATCGATTTCCAGACGAAAAATAAAGTGCACGTGCTATTCCTGCGCTGATGCACGTACGGTGTTGACGCGGTGCACGGCCAGCCTCTCTTTTACGGGGAATATTAAAGCTCGCTCGGTCGGGCCGTGTTTGTAAAACATTATCGTTTTCACAAACATCGCCGTTGCTGGCCATTGGCTACTTTACCCCTCTGCTTCTTTTTCACCGGATATTCTGAGCCTGAGGCTCTCTTGATTCACCGGTGAATTTTATTTTTTTTTCTAAATTACAGAAGCTTCGCTCCTTGAACTCTAAGATGAAAGGTAAATAATGTTTCTCTCACCTTTTCAATAAGCGTTAAATAATAGAGATTTATTTCCATATAATTACAGAAGCTGCCGCATGTCCAGAGTCCTTAAAAGCGAGGGGAGTTTCATAGCGATCAGAAAAACTACCGGTACACATAGGCAATTACATTATGTACATACAACGAGTCGTCCTATTTATGCGATCTACACGTTCAGATACAATCACTATGAACCTAAGTAATATTTTTGTCTGTATGTATATATATATATGTATAAAAGAGGAACGGGTTCAAGATATGCCTTGACGCGTCCTCCTGGCTCGCGGATACAGCTTAGACGTAATCGTTAATTATAGTGATCACCTCCCTTCGGAAGCCACCGACTTGTCCCTTAAATATCGAATACTGTGTAGCAGTCGAAAACACACCGAGGACACATCCTCGGAGAGCTCTCGTCGAAGCACAAAGTTCCTTGGACACTGCCCCTTTCTCAGAGTTGTTCCCGACCTCCAGTTTGCATATTTCCGCTTACCCCTACGGTAAGACGGTCCTCGGACGTTGACGAGAACCTGGACGATGGAGCGATTCACATGAAACACTTGGACCGAGACTGGAACTCCATAGGCGAGAAGGCAGCGGTCGAGACTCCTGTTGGAGCGGTGGTACCCATCATGCCGGACGGAACTCCGACTCCGCCTACGCTGGTACTCGACACCGTCACGCTTCCCGGTTCCTCCTTCACGTTCACCACTGTGACAGAAGGGATCGTTGAGAATTCAACTTCCTTTATTGGGAGAGCCGAGGGTGTTCATTTGATTACTGCAGGATTGGGACGTCAGGAGTGCCTCGTCGCAGGGATCGTTAAAGTAGGGATGACAGTGGGCTGGTAGCAGGTTGGGCAAGGTGGCTACAAAGAATAAAGAAAAGCAACGTTTCATTCCATGTGTCTCGCGTAGATTGTTCATAAGAAACGATAATTACTTTCGGGCCAGTAGCATCTGGTAGGTACCGTCTCCGGCGTCATGGCGGCATCGTGTCTCCTGGCGAAGCTGCTACCGAACGAGCCGCCCCCCATCGAGCCAGGAGAACTCGCCGTCCCACCTGGAACATCCAAGTAATTGCCTTGAAACGCTTTGCCTGGTCGTCGAGCATTTCTCAATAGTTCTGGCTATATGGCCATAGGTTAAAGCAGAGACTCACTTAACGAGGTGCCCAGTTGGCTGTACCCGTTTATCGGTGGGATCTGCATCGACTGCATTGGCTGCAATTGCGGTTGAAGCTGCAATAAGAGATCGTTGCATTGTTTGGTCCAAGCTTAATATTAAATTGATACTGGGTCAAACTTACTGACTGACAGTGACTGTAGGAGAGCTGTGATTGCTGAAGACTCCATGCACTGGAATCGAAGACGAGTTAGAAGGTTGTTCTAGTAAAAAGTATATACCGCTAACTGAAGATTCCAGCGTACCTGGTGTCGTATCTAGTGTAGGTGGACGGAGCATAGGACGGTGGTGAATGGCCAAACAAGTTTCTGGGACCCAAATGAACATGCGTAGGAGAAAAAGGATCGCCGAACAATGGTTTATGATACGGTGCGTTCCTATACGGCCGCTTCATACGTCTACGCCTTCTATAGTTACCGTTTTCGAACATGTCCGCGTACTGAGGATCTATAAACGTCCAACGAAGCTATCTGAGTACCTCGTCGTTTTTACAATAATTATGTTACGGTAAATGTAATAAACTGGTGATTATGAATAATTACCACCACTAAATTTGGTAAATGTGATAAATTATTGAGTATTTATCAAATTAACCGGCGAGTTTATATAATTCCCAACTCGTAATGGCCAGTGTGATAAATATCTTGACCGATTGAGCCAGTAGAATACAGCGCAGTTTCTTGAGTAGTTACTAGTCAGAAAGATGGTTATTCGTTGGGCACTATGGTAACAATATTTTATAATTTACAATTAAATATTCAATAAATGGTTATTTTAAGTCACATGGATGATTGGATGCAAGTAACCTACCCACCTTCAGTCGCCTCGGGTTGAGTAGGAGATAAAATATTAAACTAGGTTAGGTTAGGCTATATATTTAAATCCGGCCGCCTTACCTAACCTAACCTAATACATCAATAATATTCACTTCTAATTGAGTTTTAATGGACATTTCCACCTTAATTTTTATAAATCTTAACAGCTGCGCAAACTGGACGAATTTTGTTAAAGTTATGAAATTTTATCATGTTCGCCATTACGAGTTGGGAATTATATAAACTCGCCAGTTAATTTGACAAATATTCAATAATTAATTTATCACATTTACCAAATTTAGTAGTGATTATATATAACAACCGGCAATTATACATAATCACCGGATTAATCACATTTACAGTAACATATGTTGATTTATAGTATATAGATGTAAAAATATGATTTTTTATTAAAACATTTTTAAAATTAAAATTTAAAATATTTAGTTATTTAAATTTAATTAAACTGGAATAATTTAGTTTAAAAGAATATTAGAATTATAATTTAAATGAAAAATATTAATATAAAAATTTTTAATTATTAAAATAGTATTGGACGATAATTACCAACATAATTACCGGATTAATCACATTTACCGTAACATATATATTATTTTATAGAAGCATCGAGTAAATGATTTAACGATGGAAACTAACCGAGGGTCCAGAAGTTTCCTTTCCTCTCACCGCCTCCTTCGCGTGGTACCTTCACGAAGCATTCGTTCAGCGACAGATTGTGTCTGATCGAATTCTGCCAGCCCTTCTTGTTCTTTTGGAAGTAGGGAAACCTGGCGGTGATGTAAGCATAGATTTCACTCAGGGTGGCCCTCTTCTGAGCGCTGTGCTGAATCGCCATTGCGATCAACGCGACGTAGCTGAAGGGAGGCTTCTTGCTAGCCGAATCGTTGTTACTAACGCTTCCGTTTCCGTTACCAGAGGGACCGGTGGACCCGTCCGCGGCTGCGGTTGGCGTGGAGGGAGCCGAGGGAGTCGATGGGTTGCTGTTGGTGGTGCTATGAAGAACTCCGCTGGGGGATGACCCTTTGTCCTCTAGATGATGATGAGCGGAGCCTGTCGAGTGCATCGACACTACGGAGTTCGGACTGTGCAGGCTATGGTGAGAATGATGGGTCAGGGACGCGTGCGACGCTAGGCTCCGACCTATGGAGGAGTCCAGCTCCTTCGACGTGGCGCCCAGGCAACCATTCTGCATATCTGACACGAAACTGCTCACTGGAATTCAACGGTACATTGATTTCACTTACAATTTAAGTACCTATAATTCATTTTTTTAACAGATAAATATGATTTTTATTAAGCACTCAATGGATGCCAAGGTGAATTTCAATCGGAGACAACCGGCGCTCCGGGAAACTGGACAATGGAATACTTCCAAGAAATCTCGACATGCTTAAACAATTGGGCCTTTGAAAGGAATTCGTACCGCGACACTCGACGCGTGGAACGATAAGCTGTTTGAAGAAATCGTGATTCAGGATCGAACGATTGTCCGAGGTGTACCGGGTGATTAAATTGCGTGTATGCGGCTCGCGCAAATTAACCCTTTAACTGCGGGTACTTTTATCACAGCCGATCGCTCTAATTTTGAATTACACTAGTGGAATTAATTCTGGACACTTTTAAATTTTTACTTAAATTTTTTTTCTAATTTTAGGGCGTCGATTATATAAAAAAATCAGTAAAAAGCTATACTTTTAATATACAATAAAAATTATAATTTTAACCCATCAAAGGAGGTAGAAAAAAATTAATTTCATCCTGTGATTGGCTACTTAACAGTTTAGATTTTTTTAAATTAAAATTTTCAAACATTTACAAACCAAATCATGTGAAAATATTAAGTACAAACATTATAGATTACAATAAAAATATTACAGTATCATTTTAGCATAGCAGAATATACATTTTCTGCAGAAATATGAAATAAAGAATATTTTTATTCAAAGTGCCCAGAATTAATTTCACCAGTGTATATTACTGAAGTAATATTCTATTTTAAATTTATTTTATTTTTATTTTAGTAGTATATAAGCCACAGTCGCTATTTGATATTAGCAAAAATTAACATATTGTTTATATACCACAAGCGCCTCTGGCTATAATTTTAGTATGTGGTTCATAAACCACATCCGCAGTTAAAGGGTTAATAAGCGACGATCAAGCGTCCTTATGTTTTTGTTTATAATGATTTGTTTATGGTAATGGTAGCGCTATGGGTCCTGGTCCACGCTGTACAAAAATTCTATAATTGCTCCAATGTTTCAGAGGGAAAAGAAAATCAGTGAAAAATGCGAAGACGTGAGTCAGGAAGGAGTGCGTACGTGCACGGCGTGGAATATTCATCGGTGCCCTGCGGCACGTGTAACTGGAACTGGCGGTAACTAGACACCGATAAGTTGAGCACGCTGCACTCCGACAACAGAGAGAACCGTCGCTAGTGGAAAAGAGAGGCTTTGGAACAAAAGGAAAACAAGGGAGCAGGGTTTTTCAGAAAAATCTTTGCTCCAGTTTCAAGAATAAAGGATCCGCTATCAAAAACTTGATCATAAAACCTGAAATTCGATGGCTGTTATCGTTTCGACACGCTGCAAATGGGAATATCTAGCCCATGATACGTTAATACTCGCAAACGTGATACTCCGTTAACGTACTGCTTCGGGGTACATGATTTTCAGTATGGAGATACAGTCTCATCATTTGAGACCCATGTTTTCACAGCAGCGACATGGTATTGGATTTTCAATTAAATATTAGGGTCAGCATAGAGATGAAAAAAAAGAATATTCTTAAATTTCTATATGATTATATCAAGAATTTACAGATTATATTTTTATGAACCTAAAGAGGGTTTTCATAGCAGCGACATGGTATTGGATTTTCAATTAAATATTAGGGTCAGGATAGAAATGAAGAAAAAGAATATTTTTACATTGCTATATGATTATATTTGTTATGAACCTAAAGGGGGTTTTCATAGCAGCGACATGGTATTGGATTTTCAATTAAATATTAGGGTTAGAATAGAAATGAAGAAAAAGAATATTTTTACATTGCTATATGATTATATTTGTTATGAACCTAAAGGGGGTTTTCATAGCAGCGACATGGTATTGGATTTTCAATTAACTATTAGGGGTAGAATAGAAATGAAGAAAAAGAATATTTTTACATTGCTATATGATTATATCAATAATTTACAGATTATATTTGTTATTAGCCTAACCTAACCTAAAGAGGGCCAACATGGGTCCACGAGAAAGGAACACATGGATATCATGTAAACACTTGAAAATTATACTATTAGGTGTACAAATTAATACGGTGCCTTTTCTTTTTAGTTATAGTAACTACAATTATCGAAATCATATTCTCGCGCCATTTTTCAAATTTACAAAAGCGCGGGAAAAATATTCGAATTTAAAATAATAACTAAGAAAGTGTAATATTAAAGGTGCCGAATTAATTTGCACACCTAATATATTGAATTATCTTCTCCAAGCTGATCAAGACTAATCATCCTCTTCTACAGATCACGTGTCCTCGTTCGACAAGCGATATTGACCTGTGCTAGAAGAGCGTACATGTACACAGAGGAGCGTGTCGTGGATCCAAGGTGCGCAAGCAAGCAACGAGATCGCGATAACGTAAAACGGTTCGCCAACACACCTGACTGCAACTGGAGATCCTTTGCTACGCGACACCTACGAGACCGCATCTGCTCTCGTCACGGGATCCCTTGTTTCTGTTCGTACACGACAAACGATCGTCATTGGAAAAACATTGCTGTTATAGAAAATTCGTCAACGGAAAGTCTATACCGTTTTAACGACGCTCGACGATCGAGAAGAGATTTTGCAACGAACGACGGAAAAGAAAAAAATGCTGGGTTCGGCTATCGCGAAAAAATCGTGACGTAACTAGGATTGCGAAAATTGGCCTTCGTCGAGGAGGTATTGCCGTAACCGATTCCAACGTTTATCGGAGTTCTGCCGACGTTTCACCGAGTCCGCAGATTCACGAAATGAGTTCACCGTTCTTGGAAACCGAGCTGCGTTTAATAAGGTCATGGATCCTCAATTAAGAAAACTCCTTTGTTCAAACATTCGCTATAATCGAGTCTACGTTAATCTCTCGACGCTAATTAGTATGTTTTTTTTTTTTTTTTTTTTTAAGTTTAGATTAGAATTACGGCTTATCCGAGCCTTCTGTAAAGTTCAATGAGAAATGGGGTTAGGCCACCCTGAAGTCTACAGGCGAATTGTTTTCTCGAACTGTTCCGATGACAAATCTTCAGGCGACCTGGTCAAAGAGCAAAAAAGCGGCGGACGATGAGAGGGAGATCTGCGATTTGCAGAGTGATGTCACGACGTATTGTATTTCGCTTATCGGCGCCGGATCCCGATTCCTCGTGGAACTCGCAGCATTTCACGAATGCGAATGCCACGTTTTCCAACGACAACGACCACCGAGACGACAACCTTCGTGTCAAGGATCGACTTTGCTCCAGTCTAATCGATGTACCACCTCCATCGTTGTTTTTTTTCATCCATTTTTGTCAATCGATGCAGCAAAGTCTTTTCATCTGACCCTTCGTCTCGTTATCAGGGCCCCCATGTATCGGGGCCTTGACATACAAATGAAAAATTGGAGCCCTGCTTATTATAGCATGCATCGTGTCATTGTTTTAGAGGCAGTCGACTTCTCTAGCTGTATTTTTGTACTTGTTATATTTATACGTCCCTGACGAATGTTATGACAATTCGAGGTTGCAGCATAGTTATTGTTTTCAAAACAATTTTTTGTACACCTGTGTACTTTATGGAGAGAGGAGTTTGTGTGGACACATACAACTTGCAAAGACTCATCTGCATGCATCAGGGAGTTATAACTTCCTGAATGGGTATAGGCCCTATACCCTATACTATTGGGTAAGATGGTCAAAAGTGCCCTCACACCGACTTGCAATGGCTCATTCGATAACTTATCAAGAAAAAACAGTCTGTGCCAAGTTTCAACCCTGTATCTCATCGGGGGGCGGGGGGGGGGGGGGGGGGGGGGGGGGGGGGAGTAGTAATGGACAAAAATCTGAAAAAAATCAGAGATATTTCTATTCACGAGGCACATATTATAGTAGCTTTGCTGTAAAAAATCAAAAACCCCAAATAATATTCTAGGTCTTTTCTTTATCATTGAAGTCAGACTTTACATAATTGCACTGAATTGACGAATAGGTCGAGCAAGGGTCAATTGCATTATTCAAGGAAGCTGGGAGTCATCCGTGTATCTACAGCGATTATGATAAGCTAGAACAAGCGTCGAAGGGCGTCAAGGCACGTGCAGTGTCTAATGACCCATCAGTGTCCAGCTAATCGAGGATTCCTCTTAGGGGAGCCTCTCCATTCAGAAAGCAGGGGCACGTGCCTCCCTATTAACTTGAAAACGTATCCATAATGGTGGAACAATCAATTAAGGTAACTTTTAGATTGATAGATCATATTTCTGGTGAGCTTAATAAACAATGATTTGTTGTGTAAAATTTGAAATTTGAAAATCAATCTGATAAATAATTTATTTTTAGGGAATGAAACCTCACCTAAAGAGAAACAAAGCAACGAGTCAAAAACGAGACGTAAACCCCGTATCTTCGGTATGATAAGAAGAGAAGGGGGCGAGGAAGGTAGGAGGATAAAAGAGAAGCTCGAATCAAGGGGCAGAGGGTCATCTGAGCGACGATAGCTCATCTCGTGGTATCTTCCGCGTGAGCCAATCGTCGCCTGGTATCTCGACCTCGTCAACGTCGTCGTCGCAACGTTCTCCAACCTCCACCTCCTCCCTCCTCGACACCGGAAGTACATATAGAATTGCAATTTCTACACGCAGTGGCTAAGATTCCTTCATCTATTTTATTCGACTTCTGAATTCATTTTATTCCAACTACGATCATTTCAGGGTCGATGATTCCTGGTTATCGAATGAAAGAGAGAGAAGCAACGTTATCGTGTTTACTATAACGCGAATACTCGGTGTTTCTCGAAGAAGTCGAGGCAGGTTCGACCGAAAACACCAACGGGAATTACCTAACCAGATAATTTCGAGGAGGCCCGACCGTGTTCCCGCCTTTTGGTTCGTCGTCGACGATTTATCAGGAATCTCCTCCTTCAGTATTCCGTTTCGCGCGTCATTCTGATCATCTTATCTTTACAGAGCCAAGGAAGCGGAATTTAGAAGGCGATAAGGGAATCGAGTACAAATTGAGCGAGATTCTTGGATGCTCTTCTCCATGAAATTAATTACAGGAGGAAAGAATAAGATTGATCAAGTTTAGATAAGAATCATCAGGATGATTACTGTTAGTAGAGTGATATACACTGGTGGAATTGATTCTGGACACTTTGAATGAAAATATTCTTTATTTCATATTTGTGCGGAAAATTTATATTCTGCTATACTAAATTGATACCGTAATATTTTTATTGTAATCTATGATGTTTATACTTAATATTCTCACATGATTTGGTTTGTAAATGTTTGAAAATTTTTATTTAAAAAAATCTAAACTGTGTTTGCGCTTGGCAACACGGAACGTCGTATGATGTGAAATAGCCAATCACAGGATGAAAGAATATCCAACGAAATATTAATTTCTTTCTACCTCCTTTGATGCGTTGAAATTGTAATTTTTATTGTATATTAAAAGTATGACTGTGAATGGTTTTTTTACTGACTTTTTTATATAAGTCCTAAAATTAGAAAACAATGATTAGAATATAAAATATGAATGATTATATATTAAATAATTTGAATAAATGCGAAATTTAAGTAAAAAATATTAAGCAAAAATTTAAAAGTGTCCAGAATTAATTCCACTAGTGTAGATCCTCTAGGACAGTGTTTCCCAACGTGGGGCCCGCGCCCCACAGGGGAGCAATTTGATTGTTAAGGCTGGCAATTCAAAAATGGACTCCTCCAGAGTTTAAATTAATCGTATGGCGACTCTCAGTAATAATTAAAATAATATAGAAAGAAAAATCTTTCATTAAAATTATTTAAACTAAAAACTAAAAAAGAATTTTAAATTAATGTTTTAATGTTTTTTTAGATTAATATTATTTATTGCTCTAAGAAACTGTATATGTTACATAGGGGCATAAGAATTTTAAAAATGCTTAGGTGGGGCATGGCACAAAAAAGGTTGGAAAACACCGCTCTAGGATCTCTTTCAGTTCTTCCAGAAGACCAATGGCGAATCACGAAAGCCTTCCCTCAAGGGAAACTTACGTTACACCCGATCGTATAATACGTAATTGAACTATAAAAGATTGATAAGTGGATTAGCGTTTCACGACTTCTTTATCATCAGTCAGCGATTAGAAAGCCGTGCCCTTGTTTACTACACGATCTATTTTAACGCGAGCGTGAAGATATTACATACGCGGCCTGGTTTCTGAATAAATAAACAGGGTCGCGTTATCGTTGCTGAAAAGCAGGCGCCACCGATTCGCTGAAAGATCGCGAGATGATCGTGTATCGTTTATCCCGAAAACGTGATCGTAAATCCGAACGAATTCACCTTTTTATATCTTGGCCAGTTCGAAACGGAGTTCAATTGTAATGCACGCTAATCAGAGCTGCACAATTAAACGCGTCGACTGTGCCGCGCAAAGGCTTATCGTGCGTTCTTTATTACGCCGATAAATTTGCACGCATAAGCGCGAATACGATTGTTAAACGTAATACGGGAATGTGGAACGCGAATGGAAGAGAAGAGAAAGAGGGATCTGCCGGGGGGGGGGTGAAATGAAAAATTATAATAGAGCCTAATGGCATTCAGAACCTAACTTAACCTAACCTAACCTACCTGGTTAAACTTTAAGAGGACGGGGATTTGGGATTATCGATCTCTCTAAGAAAATGCATAAAATGAGGATCTGATATCGGGGAATACTTGTGGGTGAAGTAACTATCACGGGTCGAGCCACTATAGTGGCTTTCCAGTCCTGAGGGGTAATTCATGAGTACAGTTTATAGCAGATAGTCCGATTGACAGTAAACTAAAATTTTTGTCTGCCATATTGAATCAGCCATTTTGAATTTCTGAAATCTGACTTCAAATTCGTGAATGATATGTAATGATATTTAAACAATGACGAGAAACTTTTGTTTTTGAGCTGCTATAGTGGCTTTCTCGTCCTGAGAGGTAACTCACGAGTACAGGTTATAGCAGATTGACAGCAAACTAAAATTTTTGTCTGCCATATTGAATTTCTAAAATCTGACTTCAAATTCGTAATCAGCGACCCCAAAAACTCTAAAATAATGATATTTAAACAATGACGAGAAACTTTTGTTTTTGAGCTGCTATAGTGGGTTTCCCGTCCTGAGGGGTAACTCACGAGTACAGGTTATAGCAGATTGACAGCAAACTAAAATTTTTGTCTGCCATATTGAATTTCTGAAATCTGACTTCAAATTCGTAATCAGTGACCCCAAAAACTCCAAAATAATGATATTTAAACAATGACGAGAAACTTTTGTTTTTGAGCTGCTATAGTGGCTTTCCCGTCTTCTAAAGGTTAAAGAGGAATTTTTCAATGTCCAATAGAAGCAAGCAAGGTTAGGGTAAACCGAATCTAAGCAAGCTCAGACAGATGTTCCCATGTGTGCACGTCTAAAATACGATTCAAAATCTTTTTTACAGAGCGTACCAGAGGACTGGAGAAGCCGAGTCGTTGGTATAAGCAGAATCGTTGGAGGGATTCACGAAAACGCTGTCGTTGGCCGATATATCAGCCACGGTGGCTGGTGGAGCAGCCAGCATTCCCGGATTAGCGACCATAACTCTCGCCGTTGAGAGCACTCTCTGAACGGCTCTCTCGATTTCGAAAACACGAGCAGGCTCGGCTGTGCCCCATCTTGTTGCTCCTGCAAAAATTCCTGACCACCGTCGAGGATTTTCCCTTCCCAACGAGTGATCGAGTTTTATCTCGCGGAACGGAGTAGCTATATGGATTTTTATGGATGCCTTTTATACACCCAAGGAGAGATATCGACGACGCGACGGTGTGCTTCTTAGATTTCAACGGTGGTGCGTCGAGGATTAATTATGTCCAACCGACTCTGTCTATCTAACAGCGATTAGCGAATCGGACAAATCTGGTAACACGAAACCGGCGCAAACAACTGCCTTCCACCTTTATCAACGTTTATCGTACCTTTCGATCCTCTGTCGGTACTCTCTCGACATCTTCAGGTTCCGTTACAGAGGAATTAAGAGAAATATTATTCAGGGATCAACAATCATCCTTCTGCTAGTGATGGGCGATACAGTTTCGATATTTGGAACATCGATATTTTTCAGTTCAAATATAACGATATTTATTTATTTATTTATTTATTACTAAACGTGATTAACCCTTTGGTACAAAATTGAACAGAAATAATTTTGAGAACCTTCGTGTATGTAAGATACAACATGGTACTAGCGGCATTCAGAAATATGGTACAAGAACAGTAAATTAGGCAGAACAAGTAGTACAGAAAAAAAAGGTATAATGCGAGACGACGCAACGCAATAAGTAGTATACAATGGTAAAGGGTACGTATAGTATATGATATGCTACGTATCGCCCTATAGGCAAGATTGACGTAAAGCACTCTTCATGGCACCTCGTTAATGTGAAAGTAGATCTTGAGAAGATATCGATATACTTGTTGCCGGATCGATACTTAATATAGGAATATCGAAATCTCGATAAGGAGAGAATTAGATAGAAAAATATTTTGTAGCAATAAGTTTCACTTATATGTTTATTTATATTTATCTATATTTTAAGTATTTTTTAAAACAATTCAAATGTTTCCAAACTTCTTGGCGGTAGTGTAGGTGTAAAATTATCTCCTAAAATCATGATAATTTTTGCGCACCTTATATACGGGTGTGCGTATTTGAAAAACGGCTTTACTGGTTTTCCAAGGAAAGGCCCACGGTAAGGAATCGGCAATAGTTGGCCCTGAGTATAGTGCGTAATGGCCGCCCCTGCGCCAAGCTGCCCGCGAATTTTGAATTTGAAGTGAGTCGCAAATTTTACGTATGAAGGTTGCACAAAGAGGTATTCTCAGCCAAAAGTACTTCCAGACTAGTTATAATTACGTAGAAAAGAAAGAAAAACATCGTCGTAGACTTATTTTAAGTACGTAAGTAGATGTTTTAAAAAATACTGATGGTGATTTAAAAAATACTTAACCTATCCCTCTCAGCGTTTCGCTTCTCTTTCACATAACCAGTCACTTTTGAACTACAGTGTACGAACAGTAATACCTTAACTCAGGATTAGTATTGGGGAAGTGATTTTGATTTAATAAAGGTATTACTAAAAAAAAGAAAAACTTAACCTTTCTACAGAATCAGTTATTGAACAGAGGACCACTAAATGAAGGATAATACAACAAATGGTATTAATAAACAAACAAACTGGACTAATTGAATTATAAAGTGGGGCTGTTTTTCCAAATGGCCCCACCAAAATTGAGAACTCAAGGTCGGAATATAACCTAAATTGACTACAAGAAACCGATTAAAGTTGGTTTTAGAGCTGGATGTCATACCGTTTTCGAGAATAGCGCATGCGCAGTGTTGAATAGCGCATGCGCAGTATTGAATAGCGCATGCGCAGTATCGAATAGCGCATACGTAGTCCCAAAATTGTACAAAAATTCTGAAACAGCTCTGAAACGAATGTTAATCGGTTTCTGGTAGTTAATTTAGGTTATATACCAAACCTGAGTTCTCAATTTTGGTGGGCCCATTCGGAAACTTATCCATAAAGTAGTTATAACGTGTTAATGATACTATAATGCGCACTTTAATTGAACAGGAATGGTCATTCTGTTTTTGGACGGATTTATTATGCTCTCATAAACAAGCAGTCTTCTCTCTCTCTGTTCCTGCTGGATGATTAATGGATATGGTTTTGTGTTAACGACCAGCTTATAACTGGACGTAATCCATCAGCAACGCGGTATAATCAACTACATTGAAACGCGAAAAACAATTGGTGGCTGTACGCTGATAAATCATTAGAGGCGCGTTGCTCTGTGCAGTCATCAGGATATTTCCATCGCGAGGCGACGTCGAAGTCGAGGCTGTTGAAGACGAGTCACTGACAGCCTCTGAGGAAGCCTAATCGAGGGAGAGACTCGAGAAAAGATCAGGACGCAGCCTCCAACTGTATATCATCTCCTCTCTCTCTCTCTCTTTCTATCACGATTTAGTTTCTTTTCTTCTTTCTTTCCGTTCTTCTTAAACCCAGATTTTCATCTCCCCCCCCATTCCATGGCACGGAGTCACGCGACACTCGAGCAGCGTTTTGTATTATTAGAACACATGCTCCTCAGCTACACCGAGCACGAAGGAATCATTGGTTCGTATCGTGGTGAGATCCTGATGACGTCAAACGAGTCGTTAAACGTCATCGATAGCGTTTTTAGAAGCTTACTCTTGACGAGTGGACACAGGTGGTATTTAATGTTGAACGTTTCAAGGAGGACACTTACCTTGATGTAGAGATGGAAGAGGCGATGGCGGCGACACCTGAAATGGTTCCTGCTTGATTTTCAGGGAATGAGAGGACTCCTGCATACCTCCAAGACCTGTGACACCCAGGCTTCCATTGCCTTGCTGCAGTTCCTGGAACCAAATGATATGGTTTACAATTACCTATTTATAGATTTTACAGTCACAGTTGATTGTTATATCATAATCATAATTTTTTCAGGTGACTTGAGTTTGAATTAAGAAGAGGTGTTCTTAAGATTGTCTTTGAAGCAGACTGAAAGAATGAAACAATTGTTGGACTCAGCCAGTGCATTTTAATTAACTGAAATTAATCCACTGATAATACCTTTAATTGCTGGCATAATGCACATGTAGTGATTTCATTTGTAACGCTTTTAGGAAGCTGGTATGATCAATGTGCGGCACGGCTGAGACAGGAAGATGAACAACAAGGGACGGTGGTGAAAGGTGAACGAACCAGAAGAGGAGGCGACACGAACGACGGGGCCAGGAGTCTTCTGGCTCGTAGCTGGCGATGTTTGAAGTGCCGTCGCCGGAAGCTTACAAACACCGACCCGGTGTTGTGACATCGTATTATGCCAAGCGAAACTTACGATCTCGCTTGATCGTTAATTTGCGATCCGGCTTTTACGACGCCTAGTTTGCGTTTAACCGCCTACGTGTTACTTGCCGAGAATTCGTCAAACGTACCGGAACCGATAACCAAATGAAATTCCGAACGTAATCAATCGAATCGATGCATACCGTGAAGGACCACTTTCATTGTTTATCCGTTGTCAAGTGTATCCGAGTTGGGAACAGAACCCGTGTCGTTGACCCGGGGATTATAACCGATTGGGTTTACATGTTCGGCTTGTCTGAAAAGCTCACAACCGTTTCTATGATGGCGCTCGATCTGTCAGGACGAGGCTCTCGAGCCCGGACAAGATATACAGACACGGTTGCCGCTACCGCAGAAGTGCATCAACAGGCTGACACTGAGAAACGTCCTCGAGAGATTCGTCCAGGCGAGCAACAGTCGCGACACGTGGCCACCTCGTTAATTCGCTAGACAGCCATTAAATTAAGCCTCGCGCTGTGTCGTCGCTTGGTAGACGGTTTAAACCGGTGTAACCTAAGGGAGGGAGAAGGGGAGGATTCTTCAAAGGAAGGTGATTTTAGCCCGGTTCAACTTGTGGATTAATAGTATATTTAGTTGAGGAAATATCGCAGGGAATGGAAATAATTGTAGCGTTGATTCCTTCATTGTAGGAACTCTTGATTAACACCTAGAGCGCCATCTCACCCATATATGGGTGACGATTGAATTTCAATAGGAATCCATTGCTCATATTATTAGGAATTCTTTGGTTCACTTAATTGGAAATATTTGTATAATATAATGAAATATTTTGAAGATAATGTACATAAAATTTGTGAAGACTAAAAGTGATACTTAATGGAATTTTTAATGGTTCCAGCGTGGCAGTCAAAATGTTCAAAAATGAAGATACCAAAGATTCAAGAAGATTATTAAGAATTCTTTGATATGATAATATACATAAGATTTGTGAAGACAAAAAGTGATACTTAATGGAATTTTCAATGGTTCCAGTGTGGCAGTCAGTGTTAAAAAATGAAGATACCAAGGATTCAAGAAGATTATTAAGAATTCTTTGATATGATAATATACATAAGATTTGTGAAGACAAAAAGTGATACTTAATGGAATTTTCAATGGTTCCAGCGTGGCAGTCAGTGTTCAAAAATGAAGATACCAAGGATCCAAGAAGATTATTAGGAATTCTTTAACAAACTCAATTGGAAATACTCTTATTAGATACTTGAAATTATAGATAAAAATATAATGAAGGATTTTGAAGATAATATACATAAGACTTGTGAAAACAAAAAATATAGATACTTAATAGAATTTTTAAAAATGGAGATACCAAGGATTCAAGAAGAGACCTATCTAAATACTCTTCACGAAGGAGGAGCAGAAGTAATGTAATCAAAATAGAGAGTGAAAAGTGTAACGCGTTTGAGTGCCATAAATCAAGCTGCATACTTTAAAGCGAAGAGCTTTAAATAAGCAATCAGAGACTTAAGTGTTCCTCGAGTACCTCGCTACGCTCCCTCCACCGAGTGCAAGTACTCGGTGTCCAGCAATGGAAACAAGGCTATGGAAGACGAAAGATCAGCGTAGGTCGACAACGTGAGAGGCAGCCACTCTTTATCAGTGGCACGATAAAGGCTCCTCTGCCTTTTTTTCTTCGGCTATCGTTCGCTCGTTTATTTTCAATAACTAGTTCGCGTGTCTGTCCCAGAGTAATAATCGTATTTAATTTAAAATCGAACACACCGGGTACGTTGGCCTGATTAGACGACGTTTGAAACAGAAGCTCTTATTGATCTTTCTCGAACACCTTTGTAAATCTAAACCGCGCGTCCAATCGATCAGGCTATCGTTTAGCGTTCATTCATTCAACCAGCTCTTTGCGAAGCTCTTATCAATGCCAAAAATCCAAGGGGGCTGCTCGCCGAAGAAAGCGCCGTTATGATACCAGATTACCACGTTGGATATGGAAACGAGAACGTCGCGTGGAATCGGGCACAAACACTTGGCGAAGACGCAGATCGGCTAGTTGCGAAATTTTCGAGGTCACGACCTCCACTTTTCTTCTTTTTTCTTTTTTTCTTCTGCGCAACGATAAGCGAGCGCGAATGACGCTGCTCGTTCGACTCGTATCGTTTTAACGGACGTCGTCGAACCGGAGTTGGAAAAATGAGAAAACTTATGGAAAATCGCTTTTCTGTACTAAACTCTCAGCCAGATGATTTGTTGAAATTATTATAATGGAAATTGCTGGGGAACACTTCTGAGGAATTTATCTAAGCAGGGCCGGCCCTGAGATTTCGAGGGTCCGAAGCGAGCTTCACATTGTATGTGACATAAAAAAAAGTACCTCAAATAAAGTTTATAAAATTAACGTTAAATCTTGTATAACTAATTTAGATTTGCATTTATATCGATTAATATTCAAATAAACATTCTTAGATGCAAAATTGGCTTATGGGGACCCTGGACCTTGGGGGACCCTGGACCTTGGGGGCTATGGACCTTGGGGGGCCCTGGTTCTTGGGGGCTCTGAACCTTGGGGGACCCTGGACCTTGGGGGACCCTGGACCTTGGGGGACCCTGGACCTTAGGGGGCCCTAGTCTACCTAGGCCCAGGGCCGTCCCTGTATCTAACAATAAATGTTGATGATGAAATGCCGTTGAAAAACTTACCCCAGCGACCGGAATAACGTGCGAGACCATCCTTGTTCTGTCCAGGTCTGCGTAATTCATAAAAATGTTGGCGGTCGCAGCTGCATTTACGCAATGCCGCACGGGTAGGTCCTCCCAATAGACGGGCAGACCCTCCACTGCTCACCACTGATCGTTCCACAGTGTTTCTTCAAGTTTGCAACAGCGTTTGTCGTACTAATGTTCACTGACACTTAGGAAATCGGTTGAATGAATAATTTGCTCACTGATCACACTTGTTGGCTAGGCAAGCTTCACCTCCCTGTTGCATGACAATTACATCTTCAGGGTAATTAGAGTTTATGGCGCACAGAAATACTGGTACACACAACGGTGAAATGTTCTCCCAAAGAAAGTCGGTTAATCTGTAATCTGTAACAGAAGATGAAGATGCGACATTTTGTGAGCTGCTCGTGGATAACTTGGTATCTAATTAATTTAGTAAATATTATTAATTAATGTTATGCAAAAAAAAGTATCATACTCTTGGTTTATGGTAAGATAATTAGTAATTTGATAAACATATCAATTATCCGGCTATCTGATTTGCAACATCAACAACAAATGCTTTTATTAATACCAAGGGAAAAACATATCGTTACTGGAATGAACTTGAAGCTCTAAATTAAGCAACAACTTGCTATCTCTACCAAAATAGCTGTTAATGACTTGATAATCCACACCAAAAACGATCATTGCCTGACTCAACGAACCCCGTCCTAAAAGTAAATCACCTTCGTCAGAATGCTCTTAAATACTTTCAGAAAGCTTCATTAAATTTTACAATGACAACAATATCAGAATCAGAAAATCTTTTTATTAATATGAAGCTGAGACCCTGAAGAGTCTCACAAGGGAGTCGTCAAAAGTGGATGGTACAGTTGCTCGTCCAGACTATGTTTATCCGAAAGAGCATGAAACGAGGAGTTTATGGTGCAATTTTTGAGTGCCATTGGCAACGGGTTCAAAAGTTATGGGAATTTGAAATTTTCATATTTTAAACTGAAACTCATCTTAATTAACATCATCTAATCATCTCAAATTCATGCCTTTCTTACTTTTACACTTAACTTTCACTTCATATTTCGATTTCTCATGTTTTCTATTAATTTGCACTTAAAAGTATGAAAATTTCAAAGTCCCATAATTTTTGAACCCGTCGCCAATGGCAGACAAAAATGGCACCATAAACTCCTTGTTTCATGCTCCTTCGAATAAACATAGTCTGGACGAGCAACTCTACCATTCCCAAGTAATTATCTGTGGGACAATTTGGATTTCTGCTCGAAGCCACCCAAGTCCTCGACAACGCTACACGGAGCAATAACGACGGCATTTCGTTCAAAGAATGACGGGACAAGAAGTTTGACTAGGGTACCAGTTACTCCGGAGGGATGGTTGACGAGCGGGCAACAGCTGAACACTTAGCAAAGGGAGCTCGTCCCGAGGGAGTCGTTGAGACTTCCGGCGGCAGCCGACAGAGGATCCACGGAAAGTCCTCGACTGATCGCGTCGTAAATTCTGGCGATAAGAGGGTGTACGCGACCCGTCAAACACCGTCTATTTTAGTCCTCGGTTTACATTAAAAGCTGTCGATGTTAGTTTAATTCTAACCTAACCCTAACCCTAACCTATCACTAGCCAAATCCATCCGGACCAATGTCCGAACCTAACCCTAACCCTAACCCTAACCTATCACTAGCCAAATCCATTCAGACCAATGTCCGAACCTAACCCTAACCCTAACCCTAACCTATCACTAGCCAAATCCATTCGGACCAATGTCCGAACCTAACCCTAACCCTAACCCTAACCTATCACTAGCCAAATCCATTCGGACCAATGTCCGAACCTAACCTAACCCTAACCCTAACCTATCACTAGCCAAATCCATTCGGACCAATGTCGACCCTTATTGCCTACTATTGTATCAGATTTTGCGACGATATTTTAAGTGTACCGAAAGATCTGCAAGGATCATTGTGCTTTTGTTTTTGTTTAACAATAATCAAGCTACTAAGTGGTAATAATTAATTTCATTTCCGATAGCTGTGTTATTAAGTTTAAACATCAACAGTTGTGGTAATTAATTTGCAACCTAAGATCGTGGAACTGTTTCAAAGTAATTAGGGGAACCCTCTTATCTTCGCTGACAGAAGGAAGAAACATTTATCTGGTTGTTTAGTAAACACCGTGTCGCGCTCATAGAAATCTCGTACGAGCTCGAAACATAAGTTTACAAACTTCTTCGCGGTCGGACTTTTAGATATTTAAATATTACTGAAAATCACGGATGCTTTTTATACTCCCGACAACCGAGACGATAGTAAACCATCCCATTCATGAGTTTTGCCCTCGTGAAATGTTTATTCCGACGGGAATAAATTATGTTAGATCAACATCAACAAGAACGTGAACTTTGCTCGATGAAAGGCGACCTGGATGTCGTCGACAACCGACGGTAACTTTAAATAAATAAGAAGGAAATTTCTATTTTAAACAAATTAGAAGAATTTCTCTTTCAGAAACATTGCCAAATAGGAATTTGTCGTTTTGAGATTATTTTGAAAATATTATACTAACCGCTTGTAACACTTAAATATTTTCTTTCAATGCTTTCAAAGCTAATTCATGGCACAACATAAAATATGAAGATTTTATCCTTGGAAACAGATCACCAGGATCAAAGTACATAATTAAAGTATCCAAGAGTACGAAAGGAAAGGTATGAAGATACGTATCACTATAGATGTTTACCTTGCTGGTAGCACTCCACGAATAAGGAGGTGGATCTTATCACTGGTTATTCACGATTCGCGAGCAGCCCGGACCGCGTTCGAGCGTGGAAACGTCGAGTAGAACCGGGCACGATGGAGCGTGCGCCAGGAACACGCGTCGAGAGAGGAGAACCAAGCGAGATTGAAACTGATTGAGAACGTACCGAGCGAGCCAGCGAACGATTCGGAGCGGGTGGAAGCGCGCGGAGGCGGAGTCACGATGCTCGACTTATCAGTACCCTCCCACGTATCGTTCTCCGCCTCTGTTCGTTGTTCCAGCCAGAAACTATGTTACCCAAAGGTACATTGCGGGGAAAAATGGCAATTTTAAAAATGTCCAAAATACAATTTAAAAAAGTCTGTAATTTTATTTCATAAATGTTGTAATTACAATCTGGTAAAGAGAGGAGCTGCCAGAATTGACCCCTACGTCCGCAAGAGACTTTGCTCTACTTTGTCAGCTGAAAAGAATTGGTTCAATGATTATGTAACAGAGCTCAGGTGGCACTTGAGAAATCAGGTTAAGCAACCGCTGTTTTGCACGATAATCATTACCTAGAATCCTGCCGAAATTAAGGTCACCAGTTTGCCGAAGGAATCGCTGAATTCGAAGAAAATCGCGCGGACAGCTTTTCGTTGTGCCATAATTTTCGGGCAGGGCGCACGCGTTCGTCCGAATCGATACCGCTGTTATAATATATACCTGACGTTTAAAAACGTTCACGTTGAAAGAAAAGGTTCATTGTAAAATGTAACAATGCGTATTATTGTTTTTATAAATCATATACTTTCCAAAGATCAATTCTTAGGTAATTCGAGGTATTCTTCGTTTATTTGATGTTTGATATTTTTTTAAGAAGAATCTTTTTCATTTAATTAATCCGTTAGAAGTGCAGTTACCAGCGTGTAAAGTCCCCTTTAACGCGTTACAGAGTAGCAAAGAGCAGCGGAGATGTTCGTGCAACAGGATAGAGGGAAAGGAAAAACGGTCGCCATGCTTTGGGCGGAGACTGCGGTACATTTGGCTCTTTCATTGGGCGGAAAAGCTGACTCGGTGCATCAACTTCTGCAGAACACACGCGCCGGCTCAGTACACGCTGCCCTGACTCCTTGCAAATCATTGCATTACCATAAAGGAACGCTATGATTCCGAGCACTCTTTTATCCATTTTCGAGCGCGATATTCGTTTCATGTTTTTAAAATTAGCCAGGGCTTTTAATTGTATCCGACAAAGTAGCAAAAACTGGTATACAAAAATTCAATTAATCTCACTCCATTTTATATAAATTATAAAAAAAAAATCTGAAAATTTGTTAAGCTTACTATTAGGGCCGGCCCTGAGATTTCAGGGGTCCGAGCTCGAAGAGAAACTTAAGATTAAAGCTTGTATAGATTTGCATTTACATCGATTAGTATTCAAGTAAACATTACTCTTCTTGCATTCTTAAGGAACCCTAGGCGGGCCCTAGGGAACCCTAGGCCCAGGTGATTGTAATTCCCCAATGAAATTCCACTAGGCCTCAATGAAATATGTTGTAAATAGAAACTAATTTAGATTTGCATTTACATCGATTAGTATTAAGTAAACATTACTCTTCTTGCATTCTTAAGAAACCCTAGGCAGACCCTAGGGAACCCTAGGCCCAGGTGATTGTAATTCCCCAATGAAATTCCACTAGGCCCCAATGAAATATGTTGTACTTTTTAAAAACGTACTTGGACTAATTAAGAGAATTCCATACATATCTCGTGAACCTTGATGGATATAATAATGGAGTCGATATTCCGAAACGGAACTGGAGGTGATCAGTTTCTTTTCACGGTTTCACCAGCCGCTATCGAAGTTGAGATTGACAAATAAATAAACAGTACGCGATTCCCAGCCATCGATCGTGAGCAATATAAATACTCCCTACGTGATGGAGGTAGAATTCTGTGAAACAGCCCAGTGATACGTGCTGCTGATTATGTAATACGAGACTACGTGATTTAGGCAGGATGCTGATAACGAATTTGAAACGCATATTCAACGGTAGGGCGTACATTTCTCGGTCTCTGGCTCACCAATTAACGATTCTTGCCCTTGAGATAACCAGATTTTAATTAAGTATATTCAAAGTTTCAGGGCCGACCCTGGGCGTAGGCAGACTATGGCTCCCCCCTAAGGCCCCCTAAAAATGCAAGAAGAGTAATGTTTACTTGAATATTAATCAATGTAAATACAAATCTAAATTAGTTACCTATACAAGCTTTAATGTTAATTTTATAAATTTTATTTGAGGTTCTTTTTTTATGTCATATATGTGAAGAGGCCCTTTTTCGAAGCTCCCCTCGGACCCCCGAAATCTCAGTGCCGGCCCTGTTGAAAGGCCATATTGCAATTATTCTAAATTTAAAATTGCAATTATTAATGATACTTTGAAAGCCAGGGCCCTGGGCCTAGGTAGACTAGGCGGCCCCCTAGGGTCCCCCAAGGTCCAGGGTCCCCATAAGACGATTTTGCATCTAAGAATCCAAGAAGAAAAATGTTTAAATTACTTATATAAACTTTAATGTTAATTTTATAAATTTTATTTGAGGTACTTTTTTTTATGTCATATATGTGAACGGGCCCTTTTTCGCCCCGAAATCTCATGGCCGGCCCTGCTAAGTTTAAGTATCATCATACTTATCCTAATAAATCTATCAGCCGCCATTATTTGTCAAAATTTCAGAAGGAAAGAAAATGATGATGCTTGAAATACCAATAATTGAAATTTTTCAGGATCCTATAACGTGACTCGATACTCGTTGCAGAGAAGAAAGAGAAGTAGCAGTGATGGAAACGGCCGGATATTTTTCAATCATGATAACGGATTGTTGATGGTAACGCAGGACTCATGAACCTGGATGTTGTCACTGTAACAGTGTATTGTTAGAGCAGTACAATGAGCGTGTTTAACAATACTGTTTGCCGATCCGTTCGATTGTTTCTTCGCTTCTTAACGTTACTGTTGCCATTAGCGGCCGCGATTGCGATTAATTCCGTACTAAAACACTGTTCGCTTAGCCGGTACATTTATTATCACCTGCGTGACATTTTATTATTCTTGATTAGCTGGACAACGGTACAGTTCTCTGACCACCGATCATTTACCATTGAGGTTATATTTCATTTATGGACAACAATAAATTTGTTTATAACCTTCAATTTAGTCGAGATATTATCAGTGAATTAAGAGAAAAATTTCACCAGAAATGGCATAACAAAATGTTGCGTATTATACTTTAGGTTAAGGACTGGCTTTGTTTAAAGAAAGGGGAGCTCGCCATGTAATTTCTGTCACTCGTTCGTGACAAGTCACGCCTAAAGAGCGAACGATAAATTAGTAACACCTAAAAGGCAGTCGTTGCATGGAAACTCAATCCTTCGAACTCTAAAAAAATTATGACTACCCGAATGAAAAGGAGAAAAAGAAAAGGGAGTCCTTGTTTTGATTTGGGAATGTCAAAGCAAACTGACTCCGGAACACGCTGCCTTTTCTTTCTGCTTCTCCCCACGGAATTTTATTACCGTTTTATAGCGGTTTGTCGTGACCAGCCACGGTCACGTTTCCTGGTGAGGTATTGCAAGGCGAAAGAATGTAAAATATTCTGTAGAAATATCTCAATGTCTGTTTCCTTTATGGAAACAAAATGTGGTTGTTGTAGATGGGACGAATGATAAAAGATACAATAAATGAAGAAACAGAATATTAGCCAGTTTGTTAGACTTCTTTTTTTTTTCTTCCAAATCACCCTGTATGATGATAAAAATAGTAATGAAGGAAAAAGTAAAGCGTGCAGGTTTGGAAAACAAAAAAGGGAGGCAAAATTCCAGTGAACAGTACAATGCATTTTCTATGTAATCTTTTTATTTTTAATGATTTTATTTTGTAACAAAGTAAAAATATTGTGGGGGTCGATAATGTCGTTGATCCGCAAATATGTTAAAGCTCGTTTTTCCATCACATAGCACCATCCGACGATAATTCCAAGTACTAAATAATCACCGGTTCTCGACCGAGCCTTTCGTAACCTATAGAAGCAGAAGACTAAGTTGAGGGAAGCATTGGTGTTACTTTTTCCAACTGATTTTTACAAAGCAAAAAATTGAAATTCTGAAATGGACGAGGATAACGATAAGGAACATTTGTTGGAAGATGATTATTACACGTTCCTCAATATCCCTAGAAATGTGAGATAACGAGACATTTTCAACATAAATTCGTATTTTCTTCCCTGGTTGAGGCTAGAGATCAATTTCGTGACTTCCACGTGACATGTTCCTTTCCTATGTCTGACGTAATCGAGCCCCCTTTTGCAGAGTTATTTTCTTTTCAAACATTTGCAAATATTATGTCAGATTATTGTGTTCCATTAATTCATTAAGTAATTTATTTTATTACAGTTGAAAAAATGCATTTCAGTATTGAACACACTTCATCAAGGTTTTTACCATTAGCAATAAATATTATTTGGTAGATGATTTTAGCTGTAATTTTTATTCTAGGCAACCCAAGAAGAGATCAATAATGCTTACCGCAGACAAAGCAAACTTTATCACCCTGATAAACACGTGGACCCTGTGCATAAGAAAGAAGCGGAGGTTTTATTCAACCGTACTAAAGAAGCGTACAAAGGTTCGTTCAGGATGTAACAAGTAGTAGTAGTATTTATTTTCAGCCATTCGGCCATGAAAAGGAACTTGACTTACAATATTTCCTATTTCCATCCACTCCGCTCCATACCCTCGCATACACCCCTTCTTACTTACATATAATTAATTACTCCCCTCTAACTCTACTATCTTACAATCCTAATCTCTTATATTTAATCTTTGCATTATCACTTTGGCTTCAAGTTTGTTCAGTTGACTGTCCTCCCTCTTTTCCATCAGTTTCCTTAACCATCCGACTGCCCTGTCCCTTCCTTCCCCGCAATCACCTCTCTTACGCCTATCTCCCTATCTAATTCTCTACATTCCCTGACTAAATGCTCTGAATTTCCCAATTTACCCTAGCATAAGTCGCACCCCTTTCCAGTATCTATTCCACCTCCCTAGTGTACTTGCTTGCGCTATCAACTACTGGCTTCCCTGTTTCCCTTCCCTTTGTAGGTACCCTGGTAGACTCGCAGTCCTTATGTATTTATACCTTTGGCTGAAATTCGCCTTCATTATCTTATTATATTGCGCAGGATGTAACAAGTATATTCCCCTACATTCCTGTCAGGTATAAAATACTATTTCTTTCATAGTTTTAAGTAATCCGCATCAGAGAGCCATTTATGATTCTGTGGGAATTCGAGGCTTACAAACGGATGGATGGGAGATCGTGGAACGTACGAAAACCCCTCAAGAAATCAGAGAGGAGTACGAGCATCTTGCTAAGGAAGCTGAAGAAAGAAAGTTAATGCAACTGACAAATCCTACCACTAGTATCGTAATGAATATCAATGCCACGGATCTTTTTGACAGATACGACGACGATGACTATGAAGATAGGTAATTCAATTATCTTTTCTAATACAGATACATATATTATAAAGTATATTGTATTTTAAAATATAGCAGGAACATACTTTCATGCTTAGAAGTCAGTGGAATGTCGTTCACACAATCTATCGAGGCACCTCTTACTTTACAAGACACTGTAACCCTGTACGGGCAGGTGACTACTCAAAATGGCATAGGGAGCGGTTCTGTTAATTTCGCGGCCAGACGATTGCTCTCGTCGAAAGGTTGGGTAGAAGTAGACTTTGGTGCCGGCAATGGACCGATGTTGGGCTTTAAAGGTTTCCGTGTGTTGCCCCACAAATTAATGCTTAACGGAGGTACCATATTGGAGTTCACACCGGTCGAGATGAAGGCGAATCTTGTAGGGAGTATGTTCGGTTATTCGAATATAAAATAAATAAAAATTTGTATACAGTTTCTTATACAAATTATAATTGCAGCCTTGTCGATGGAGTTAGATACCCATACTATAGGGCAGCTTACGTACAATGCAGGTCCAGAAAGCGCGATGAGTACAGCGATCGTAAGAGACACTTCTAGATCTTATACATCGTTTCGATTACAATTTGGTATTCAGCGGTCGTTTCTTAGTCTTAATTACACTCACAAGATGGAAGAGAGGGGAATGAAACTGCGAGGAGGTGTGAAGTTAGTACTTATCAGTAAATTATTTAATAATAAAGTAACTGTATGTATCTTAACCTTGTTCTCTTCTTAGATTCGTTCTTTAATCTTCATATTTTTCAATCGACAGGGTTGGCACGTTCGGAGTGACCGTTGAATATGGAGCAGAGAAGAAGATTTCACGTCACAGTAAAATTTTCGCCACAGTATGCGCCGGAGTGCCAACAGGAGTTGCGTTAAAAATTAAATTAAAACGTTCCTTTCAAACGTATTCGTTTCCCATTCAGTTGAGCGACGAACTTCTTCCAGCAACTGTCTTCTATGCCACTGTAGTTCCTTTAGTAACATGGGTGTTCGTGAAAAAGATGGTGATAGATCCTATGGTAAAGAAACGAATGGAACGTGAAAAGGAGAAAGAAAAGGAGGTGAACAAAACTAGAATGATGGAGAAACAAAAAGAAGCAGAAAGTGCTACCAAATTAATGAGCGCAACGGTCAGCAGAATAAGAGCTCAGGAAGAAGCGAAGAAAGGTTTGATTATTACCAAAGCATTGTATGGACGATTTGTCTATCCTCAAGAGGAGCAGTATAATTCAGAGCAGCCCATGCGCAGAGATGAAGTGATAGATGTAACTATTCCTTTGCAGTGCTTAGTGAAGGATTCAAAGTTAATTCTTTATGATGCTTCCAAGGTACGTATCATATTTTGCTTTAAAAATATGCACAGGGTGATCCTCTCGCTATTGGACCCAAAGGAAGTGCCACCACAATGGAATGAAGAAGTCGACATCCCATTTCTGTCAGGCCTGTCCAAGTAGGGGATTTTACTCCTGGAACACATGTTTTGGGTTCCCTTCCAACGCTGTTCCTTCAAGCTCCATCTCTCTGAGGAAACAGTACCGCCGCTAGGAAAGACGGAGAGACGGTAGTCGGAACCGTCCCATCTTACTTGAAGGAGCAGCGTTGGAAGAGGACCCAAAACATGTGTTTCAGGAGTGGATTCCCCTACTTGGACAGGCCTGGCTTACTTGATGGAGGTGCCCCTCCCCCCCCCCCGCCCTTTTCTTTTTTACGTGGGGAAAATCTTCTAAAGACACCTCCAGCCCCCTGGGGAGGAGCCGGAGGTAGTGCGGGATATTTACCTGCTGAAACCCCCAAGGTGGCCTGCATTGGGACTATAGGGAGGGCCTCTGGACCTCTGAAGAACACACCGAGACCCTCTCACACGGATGTGGCCTCCCTTTTTTTTTTACGTGGGGAAAATCTTCCAAAGACACCTCCAGCCCCCATGGGAAGGGACCGGAAGTAATGCGGAATATTTACGCGCTAAAACCCCCATGGTGGCCTGCACTGGGGCTATGAAGGCCCCAGGACTTCCGAAGAACATACCGAGATCCTCCCACACGGAGATGGCCCCCCTTTTTTTCTACGTGGGGGAAATCTTCCAAAGACACCTCCAGCCCCCATGGGAAGGGACCGGAAGTAATGCGGGATATTTACCTGCTAAAACCCCCATGGTGGCCTGCACTAGGGCTATAGGGAGGGCCCCAGGACTTCTGAAAAACATACCGAGATCCTCCGACACGGAGGTGGCCCCCCTTTTTTTTGACGTGGGGGAAATCTTCCAAAGACACCTCCAGCCCCCTGGGGAGGGGCCGGAGGTAGTGCGGGATATTTATCCGCTGAAACCCCCACGGTGGCCTGCATTGGTGCTATAGGGAGGGCCTCTGGACCTCTGAAGAACACACCGGGACCCCTCCACACGGAGTTGGCCCCTGCAGCGAAGACGGCCAAGTGCGTGAAAATGTGCGTAATGAGGAGCAGAATCCCAGTTAAATGGTGCGAGAAACAGAATATTTTCTTAACACATTTTCACGCACACAGCCGTCTACGCTGCAGGGGCCACCTCCGTCAAGTAAGCGATGACAGAAATGGGATGTCGACTTCTTCATTCTATCCTGGCGGCACTTCCTTTGGGTCCAATAGCGAGAGGATCATCCTGTATATCAGAAAAACTGAGTAACATATATTTTAACGTTACAGAGCGAGCTACCAGGCTTTTATGATCCATGCGTTGGAGAGGAGAAACAGTTATTAATACAATATCTGTTTCGTAGTCGAACACACGAATGTATCGTAAAGGACAACGCACCAGTTAGAATACCATTACCATGTGAGGATACGTTTATTTGAAACTGACAGAATAATTTTGTAAATCTTAACAAACATTGTTCTATTTCAGCACACAGAGTAAATACGACATGACGTAAACAACAACAGAGAATAATAAAGTGAAATCATCGTGATTCGCGGTGATAGTTTGTACCGCTTCATGGAGTTATTTTCAGTCATTTTTTAGATTAAACTTCTGCAATTCCTTGTTGACGAAATTTCAGTGTCTCATCGATCATTTATATTTTGTATAAGAACTGTATTAACTCCGGAATAGTCGTTTACGTAATTTCGTTTCACCTAGATGCAAGAAAAGTTTGAAAAGAATAGAATTCGCTATACCATAGCGATATTACTGCCCACAGGAAAGGAATTAATAGTTAGTTGTTGATAGCGATTAGGATAATTGCATGTATTTAAATTGACTGAATTATTGTTAGAAAAAATTGAAGAAGGGAAGAAACTTGTTATATCATTTTAAGATAAAAAATAGAACAGATATTTTCTGCACCACCTTATGTATCGATATTTTGTCTATCAAGACCGAAAGGTTGTGGAAAGGGTAGACTCAAAATGTTTCCGGTAGAATGAACTAAGTTCTTCATCTTCCTATTGAAAATAAACATGTCTAAACAGAATAGTGTAATATGCTTATAATGGAAAAACAAAAAAGGAAAGAATTCATTACCTCGTAAGCTTTCTTTGCAGCACTCCCTAATGCTTTTTCATAATCTTCACAAGGATCACCGATAAATATGTTACCACTACTTAAACGAACACTTGCAGTAATCAAATCAGTATCTACATCCCTCGAATAGGTGAACCTAGGTTTCGGTTCCTTCTCAAACTGATAATAATTCATTACTTGTAAACAATACCAAATTGGTGACTTTCCATCTGCCGCTAATCTCATAGCCTGTGTTTCATGCTGAAAATGATATTTACATTACAGTTAAATGATACATAATGTTAACGATGTTAATACTTACATCAAATAATTCATGCGATAATGGAGATGTATCTGGCAATTTACACCTTTTTGATCTCTTGGAAATATTTTCTATAACTGATGGTGGTATAAAAGGTGGTAGATATGGTGTTCTAACTTCATAATATGATTTATAGCTTGTGCTATGAGTGGGCGAGCATTTCAGAAGAACACGCATAATTCACTCGTATTCTCAACTTTATTTCTATCTACAAGTTCATGTATTTATTTATCCATTTTGCTATATGTTCTATACAACGGTACCTCGGTATACGACCTTAATCCGTTCCTGATGTTTGGACTTGTATGGAATAGGACGTATACTAAACCAATAAGAAGTAATCAAGAAGTGATTTTCTGTAAGAAGTAATGTAAAAAAGATTAATCCGTTCTGATGTGAAAAAAAACTCCTGTTGATATTATACCTACATTAATGGGGTTGTAAAATAATTTAAACACTGTTTAAACAAATGACGCAAAATTCACAGAAAAAATTTATGTTGTATACCGAGCAAAATTTGTCACGTCCAAACAGAACGTATTCCAAAACAGACGTATATATACCGAGGTACCACTGTATTTACTGTTTGTTTTTATCCTTATTTATGATTACTTACATTTTTGTTTTTCTGTCCCTTCGGTTAAATCGACTAAAGATTAAGGTAATTTTCGTTTTTGAATACGACTCTAATAATAATAACCGCTACGACCCGTAGCCTACGGGTAATCCAGGCCCTTCAAACTTCAAACTCCACTCAGTGACTACAACAAGAAAACTAAACATGCCTTTGTTACCGATGAGTCGCCATTTTTAGTGTCCGCGGTACTCCGAGATGAGGTTAGGTTTCCACGGTTGGTATAACAGTTGTCTGTTTTACCAGTTCTTCTCTTACTATACCTCGCTGGAGCATGCATGGCACAACTACCTTATCGACTACAGTAAAGTGAAGAAACTACGTTTGCAGTGTTACCATATTTGTTTCCATACACATGGCAATTGTTCACACAAGCATATACAGGGTGTTCGACAACAGGTGAGAGATTTTTTAAGGGGTGATTCTAGGGATCAAAATAAGACGAAAATTAAGAATGACGAAATAGTGTTTGCAGCTTTGTTTTCCAGTAATTAACATTTAAAAATTCGAGTAAAAAGCGCCTCAAACCTGTAATCTGCCCAGCACCGACGACTGAACGTCAGGTCAGCAGGGGAAGGTACAGTCATAACCAAGAATCGTTGAATAGTAGAAACTTACCTCGTGCTATTCTGTTTCTCGGTACTGCGGCATTCGGTTTCGATTCTTGGTTATGACTGTACCTTCCCCTGCTGACCTGACGTCCAGTCGTCGGTGCTGGGCGGATTGCAGGTTTCAGGCGCTTTTTACTCGAATTTTTAAACGTTAATTACTGAAAAACAAAGCCGCAAACGCTATTTCATTATTCTTGATTTTCGTCTTATTTTGATCCCTAGAATCACCCCTTAAAAAATCTCCCACCTGTTGTCGAACATTCTGTATATGTTTTCATCCGTATGATCAATCTGAATGTATAAGTCACAACCAGAAGGTTGAGTTCGAATCCCACGGGGACAATTTTATTTTTTTATTCCTAATCAGTTCGTAATTTTTGCAAACGTTTAGAGTTTAGATGTATTGTATCTATTTACAATTATTTACAGCTATTTATTTTTACATTTATTTACAATTATGTACAATAGTGAGGCAACAAGTGCAATTTCCTTTTTCATTAATTTATTAAAAAATAAAGATTTAATTTTACCATTAGAAAAAGACACAGAAGACATTAGTGCAGAATCCAAAACGACAGGACAAAAATTATATCATATTTTGTGCAAATTAACAATGCATTAGAACGCATGAGCGAAGAAGATCGTGAAGAAGAAGATGAAGTCCTTATCCTGTTCAGCCGCAATCCCGAGGATGATAATATGTAAGGAAGCATCCAAAGAATAGAAATACCCTGCACCATGAACAGCGTATAAACGCGTCCACGTCGCATGTGTAGGGTGTTTTCTTCGTATTCACATGGCAGAACGTTCCCCTCTGTGGCGACAGCTTCGTTGCAAATCAGGCGTATCTGGAAAATAATTTATGCATAATAAAATTCATATCAAAATGGAACATGAACGCGTTACATAAACATGTTTAATAAATACCTTATCATTTCCGCATAAGCTGCCGCCGACAGGTGGTGATGCACCACGGACTGAATTTTGATGGCATCCTTTCAAGCTGTCCTTCTCTGATGCATAATGGTTTTGTATTCTTGGTATTAAATGCTTTACTTGCCGGTAGAAGTATACATAGGGTTGACACAAGGGTATGCATTTCGGTGGTATTACTTTAAATGTACACGTCGTTCATTCTCATCTTTGAGTTCCTCATATAGGGCAGGATTTATTTGACCTGCCCAAGAATCAATAATGTACAGGAACGTATTCTTCGTTGCTAGGGTTGTTTAAGAATTGTTTATAAGTGTCCGTGTGTAATTTACCAGATTTTGTGCATGTGAATACAACATTTCTAAATTCTTCCATCGGTCTTGCAACCTCTTGAGAAACTTGAGGACCAAATCTTCCACTAACTTCTTGCAAGCAAATAGATACTTTTGAAAGAAGTTTGCCTGACAGTGTCAATGCATATAGCGCAGTATATCCTCGTCTCTTCATGAGACGATTCTGCAGATAATGCAGTTATCGTTTTCATGATCCGATTCGTATGCGAAGAGTTCTTCGTCGCTGATATTTACTTCATCTTCGTCTTCACGATATTTTTCGCTCATGCATTCTAATGCATCGCTAATTTACATAAAATATAAATATAATTTCTATCCTATTGTTTTGGATTCCTCACTGTCTTCTGTGTCCTCTTCTAATGGTAAAATTAAATCTTTATTTTTTAATAATAAATTAATAAAGAATGAAGCTGCACTTGTCACTACCTTTTTTTTACGCCGTTATAATGTGCGATGCCTCGATTCGCTTTTGTTCGCTTTACTACAGCCATTATTGTCAGTAAACAAATGAAGGTCTAGTTATGTATGGACGTAGGCGGCCAAGAATAGAACCCAGGGCAGAAGATTATAAATTTATGTACAGCAAATTTGTATATAACAGATGAAAACTAAAGTTGCAAAAAATAATTGTGTGTAATAACAAATAAACGCGTGTAAATTTCGAATGCGGTAAGGATGGTAATGTACGTACTGGATAGAAAACATAACTTAAATTCTATAAAAACTGCAGCACATGTAATTAATTATTAATAAATGCAATGATAATAGCACAATTGTAATAGTTATTCAAAAAAAGATAAATTATCATAAAAAAAAAAATGTTGGGAACCAAGGATTTGAACCGTGGACCTTCAGATTGCGAGTCATGGATCCGCTCCGCGGTTAAACACATAACTCGTAATCTGAGGTCATCGGTTCAAATCCTTGGTTCCCAATTTTTTTTTTCTCTCTTTTTGAATAATTAAAATTCTATATAATTCTAAACTAAAATTCTATATTCTATTTTGAATAACTTAAATTCTATAAAAATTGCAGTATATGTAATAAATTATTAATAAATGCAATGATTATAGCACAGTTGTAATAGTTATTCAAAAAGGAACAAATTATCATTTAAAAAAAAATGTTGGGAACCAAGAATTTGAACTTCGGACCTTTAGATTGCGAGTCATGTGTTTAACCGTGGAGCTAACCGTTTGTATGTGTGAGTTTGTCATACGTCTCAATGTACGGAGTACCTAACTTTAATTGTTATAATCTTTTAAACAATTAACCGTCTGCCCCCAAAATGGAGTATAGGCGTGTTTCAAAGTTTCATTAATAAGTGAGCGTAACACTTAGGTAGTTTCTTCTCCTCGTCAGTGTACATAATGACCTGTGTGTATGTAGTAAGTACTCGTCCCTTTTCTGTGGAATTCATACTGTAACGCTGACACTTTGGCTGCTAACATCATTGTTGACGGTATCTTCGGTGATGTCGATGGCAAAACGATGGTGAAATTTTACCCAAATTAGTTTGTTTCTCATAGGATACAAAACTGGACATGCCTTTGTTCTCAAAGAGTCGTGAATTTGTGCTTCGAGAAAGAACGCTATCTGCTCTATCCTACTGCAAAAATGTGAAACACTGCATTTATAAATATTTTGCAAATTGATCATATTTACCTGCTGTAGCTTTATGACGTAATAGATATTAACTTAAATTTGAATTGCAAATTTACTTGAAACAAGTAAATTTATTAGTAACAAATGAACTGTACAATATTTTTATGTATCGACGTTTAAATCAATGCTTTTAACGACAGAAGCGGTTGTTGGATGAGTAGAAAAAAGTTTGGCCAACATGGCTAATTCTCTATTTTTCTTATCGGTCAAGTGTAAAGGTGTCCATGTATGATCTTGTTCTAATCTATACGCGCCTTTGTAAATTTGAGAAGGTCCCGAACTGCCCCATTCCTATAATATCAAATAATAATTTGTATACAAACATAAAAACATTGAAATCAAACGGTAACAACTTACTTCTGGACTAAGCATAGAAAAATAGAGTTGTCCAGTTTCTCGTTGATACAGATGATAGACGTGTCCAGGATGTTTCACAAAATTGCAAGCGACATGATGTAATTTCATATTCCAATCTGTTTCTAATAGAATGTTCTCAGCCTGTTTTTTTAAGGACTTTATTTGATCTGCGATTACCTGCAGCTTGCTACATGCGTTAGCTTTAATAAAACTGTCAGCTTTCTGTATTTCCAATGCTAAGGCTACTAGATCCTGTTGGGATGTTTTAGCCACAGCCTCAGGATCGTTCAATGGAAGCCCTTGAGGTTCAACGTTGCGTTCCACAAGAGATACTGTAGAACAATATTATGATCACATATCAAACATGTAGAAAAGGAAAATTTTCAATTTGTACCTTTACTGCACATGTCATCAGAGTTATCCATTATAGTATATATACACATATATCATTTGCTGAATTGTAAACAATAATTAAGGAAATATGTAATAATAAAAGGTTACCAATGATTGAATGTATTATATCTAATTATTAAAATCTAAATTTAAAAAGCCTGAATTACATGATAGATGATGCAAAACACGTGCAGCATCAATGTATTGGATACACATCTATACATACATCTCTATGCACACACAGAAGTAAATCAGCTGTTGTGCTTTCTGACAAAGAGGTTATTTTATTAAGTCCCTGTTCACACAAGAAAACATGTAAATTCTCCATAGTGACTTTTGCATTAACTGACAGCAGGGGCGGCCCTGAGATTTCGGGGGTCCGTGGCGAGCTCCGAAAAAGGGCCCGTTCACACATATGATACAAAAAAATACCTGAAATAAAATTTATAAAATTAACATTAAGGCTTGTATAACTAATTTAGATTTGCATTTACATCAATTAATATTCAAGAAAACATTACTCTTCTTGCATTCTTAGACGTAAAATCGTCTTATGGCGGCCCTGGACCTTGGGGGGCCCTTGGCGGTCGCCTATTTGCCTAGGCCCAGGGCCGGCCCTGACTGATAGTAGAAGGAAAATATACATTTTTGAAATATACAAAATATCAATTGCAGTCGTTTTTATCGTTGATAATTGTCAACTAAGCTAAAATTATCCATTTATTCTTAGAGATACGATGAAGATAAAATTATAATAAGCGACGCAAGTATAGGTCTCAGAAAAGATGTCGTTTGCGCAACTCAGAAGATTTCCAAGGCGGCCGAAAAGGGCCGTGTAAACAGGGATTAAGTGTTTCCGTGTACAAAATTTTGGAAATTCCGAACTTCAAATGATTTACAAAGAAAATGTTAGGACAGATATTTGCCATACGATCAGTGAAACGAAGTAAAGATAAAATTGGAGGACAAACGATGGAACTGATTTTTTGTTGGCAATGAAATCTTTATAGGTGTAAATTTAATAATACTGATCATAAGGTTGTTTATGATAAGAACCAATAATTTGCAATGGATTATGCAACTGTAATTGATCAAGCTGTGAAACAGTTTTATGCAGAAGGAAATAATGAGGTACATTCATGGCTTCTTCGGGTTCAAACCTCACCAGAAGCCTGGACTTTTGTCTGGGAGCTTCTTGACTCTTCTAAGGTACGCAGACTGCTTTATTTCAATTATATATCAACAAGACTTTCTTGGAAGTAACAACATCAATCTTGGTTATAGTCAATGGAAGCGCAATTCTATGGAGCTACCACGTTGCATGCTAAAATTTCTAAACAATGGAACGAAGTACCTAAGAATGAATATCCCGCCCTCCAAGAACGTTTACTTAATTTTATGAAACAACCAAACACCCCGAAAGTTGTCCTATCAAAACTTTGCCAAGCGGTAAAGTATTTTTATTCGGTTATGTTCTATAACGTGTATTAGTTAATTAAGTAATTCTGTGATTTCAGTTAGCTTGTTTTGTAGCAAACACTACAGCGCTTGAAAATGAAGGAAAGGATAAAAATATTGTAGACGAATTAATGGGAATGTTATCGTACGATTCTTTTCCCATGTTGGAATTACTTTTACTCACGCTTTCTGTGTTACCGGCAGAGGTAAAGTACTTATAAATTATACAACTTAGGTATTCAATATTAGTAAATAATTTTGACTATTGAATCAGATTGAAAGAAGATACGAAGTAAGGAAACCCAAATTATATGAATTTTTATTTAACGGTTGGTGCAAAACAGCCTGGCTTTTGCAACAAGTTTTTTCAATGTGCAACCCTAATTCCCAAGATTGCGATCATGAGTTACATTTGTTGGCATTGGAATGTACATTATGTTGGCAAAAGGTTGGTCAACTTCCTTTGGAACCGACAGGACTGATATATCCTCATTTGCTGATAGCTGCAGCTTATTATGCACCGAGCAGGTACACAATTCATTTTAATCTAATCAGCATATTCCTTACATTTCACATATACATTTTTCATATTAAATTAAAGGGAATTGTGCGGTGAGGAAACCGTGAAAGGTTGGGAAGTTGTTCAGGAATGCTTGAACATAATAGTGACCCATTATGAACTGAAAAAGAGACCGCAAACATTGTGGGAATGGGCGCAGAGTCTGGTAACGATGGCAAGACAATACAGTGGAAAATACTTCTGTGAGATTCTCACCGCCATTGGGGAAGCTCATAGTAGAATATTTCTTCACGCTTTAGTGGAAGGAGAAAATGAGACACAAAAGTGGACTGCTAAAACCTTAATCGAATTACTGTTGGAATGTTCAGAACAAGAAGGAAGATATCCTGTAGACGAAACACGTAGTTGTATTCCATTTGGATTCTGGTTCGCTCTGCAAGATGATCTGTCGACCCTCGATCAGCCAGTCGAGAATCGCGCTTTACAAACCCTGAAGCCCGTATACGCGCGGCTAGCACAGGCATTGTTAAGAAAATCCACGCTCCCTTCGTCCCCCAACGAAGCGGGGGATGCGGAGGAACGAGAATTGTTCAGGCGCTACAGGCAAGACGTAGCGGACACGTTAGATTATTGTTACAGAGTATTAGGGCAAGATCTGTTAGTGCTTCTTGGCCAGAGGCTCAGTCAAACGTTAGACAATTCGGATAAATGGACGGACGTGGAATCAACGTTGCACGCCTTTGAAGCTCTAGCGGACAGCGTTGGTACAGAGGAATCGCATTACATTCCTGCACTGATGGATTTGATCCTTAGTCATATTCCGTATGATCTATATCCAGGAGAGGTACAACCAATTCTCTTATATTTAAACGGTGCATAATCAACATTATACGTTTCGGTTTTCAATATTTTACAAAGCACTTTGTGGAAAATTGTTTTAACAGAGGTATCTGAGATCTTCCTCGACATTTTCAGGTATTGGCATGTGCATGCTCGACGATGGGAGCGTACGCTGAATGGATAGGAGAGCATCCAGACCCCTGGTTAGAAAGAGTACTGCGAATTGTAACTTTAGGCCTGACGAGAGGCTCAGTCACGGCGCCGTTTGCCAGCATGGCCTTGAAAGATTTAGCAAGAGAGTGCGGACAACAATTGACGCCTTTCGCGGGCACTGTTCTGAACACTATTGAACAAACGCTTCCAAACGTGACACCGGGATGCGCGGAAGGGCTGCGGATGATGTACGCGGCTGGTAAATTATTAAATACCTTGCCCACCGTCGACGAGCAATTGGCTCATCTCGACGCGACGTTAGGCATGTGTATTATTAAGATACGAGAATTGTTGAAGCAACCTTGCTTCGTGGCACGAGGTGCTGTGATTAATCAATTGAAAATGGTTACCATGTTCTTCTCCACGTTGGAGGGATCTATTGGAAAGGCTGTGTTAGACGGTTTACTGCCAATATTTAGTCAAATCGTTGCTCATCCCGAATGGGGCCAAGACAACTTCACGTTAGAAGAGATGTACATTTGTGCACAAAAGTCTTTAACCTCCTTATTACATCCTGGGGTCGATGCTAGGCCGCTTCTAACCATCTTGAGAACTTCCTATAAAACTTGGCCTCATCCTACCGCGTTGGATCTTCTACGACAGCTTGTGCTGTTGTTCGGTCGAGATCCGGATAACGTGATAGGACCAGTATTCGCGGAATTAAGCTCTATAACGTTGAGCGGCGTGAGAGCTTGCAGATCCGTTCGCGGCAATTTATCCGACTGGGCGGAACTGATGGAAGCTTACCTTGGATTGTTAGCCCAAATTTGTAAAAAGAATACCGGCATGTTATTGAAAATTCCTGATCAGATTCCTGATATGTTACAGTGTGGTAAGTCTCAAGAAGGGAACTAAGTATTATGCTTAGTTATTAATGAAACTTTGCCACCTTGTAGAGGTACATTCTGAAGTATGACAAACTCACACATACAACTTGCAATCTAGAGATCCACGGTTCAAATCCTTGGTTCCTAACATTTTTTTTTATTTTAATGATGATTTGTCTTTTTTTGAATAACTACTGTGCCATAATCATTGCATTTATTAATAATTAATTACATATACTGCAATTTTTATAGAATTTAAGTTCTTCAAAATGGAATATAGAATTTTAATTTAGAATTATATAGAATTTTAAGTATTCAAAAAGAGAAATTATCATTAAAAAAAAAAAAAAATAAAATAAAATGAGAACCAAGGATTTGAACCCTGGATCTTTAGATTGTGAGCCATGTGTTTAACCGCGGAGCGGATCCATGACTCGCATTCTGAAGGTCCACGGTTCAAGTCCTTGGTTCCCAAAAGTTTTTTTTTTTTAGATAATTTGTCTCTTTTTGAATAACTATTATAGCTGTGCTATAATCATTGCATTTATTAATAATTAATTACATACACTGCAATTTTTATAGAATTTTAGTTATTCAAAAAGAGAAATTATTATTTAAAAAAAAGAGAAAAAAAGATGGGAACCAAGGATTTGAACCGTGGATCTTTAGGTGAGTGATTGACCGTTTGTGTGTATGAGTTTGTCATACTTCTCAATGTAAAGGGTAACTAACTTTAATTGTTAATATCTTTTAAACAATTAGCCGTCTGCCCCCAAAATGGGGTATATGCGTGTTCAGCTCGACGAGCTGTACAAGGTGGCAAAGTTTCATTAATAAGTGAGCGTAACACTTGGCTAATTTCCTAAATCAGTGTCTTTCCTTCTACGTAGTCCTAATAATCAAATGAAAATTTATTGCAGGAATCGACTGTTTAACGCTTCCAGAAACAGGGACAGTTAAAGCAGCTGGAAACTTCCTTACCCATGCCATCATGCAGAGTCCACATTTGCAAACGTTTATTCAACCAATTGGTCAACAACTGGTTTCTGTAATTTTGCAGTGTATAGGTATGTACAAGATACTTAGACTTGTTTACAAGTGTTTGAATTATTTTTAAGCAAATACATGTTGTAACGACAGGTGGAGAGGTACCGAGAAACAACCTAGAACCTCATGCAGAAGTTCTATTAGCTTTAAATAAAACCTGCCTGGAATGGACAGCGCAATGGCTTCGAATTGCTTTTGACAAACATTCGGCATTATTTTCCGTTTCGCAGCCGCAAAAGGAAGCCTTTGTACGAAATGTTTTACGCGAACGAATTAACAAACGAATGAGTGACTTGTTGAAAGATTTCAGCCTTC